ACTGCATTGTCTGAATGAAGTCATTGTTTCTATTGCTACTTCGCCAGTCTTGCAGACCTCACTCATGGCTGTAGCTTTGAATTCCAACCTATCCCCAGGCTCCTTTCATGCCTTCTCCCAGATGTTCCACACTCCACTGGATAGATGCCACTCATACTGCACAGAGCATCTGGTGACTGAACATCTACAGCTGGTTTCCTCAGTCATCTCCAACGCCATGTCCTCTGTCATCCTCGACCAACTTTATCCAACCAGAGCCCATCCAGGTGCATTGGAAGCCACATCCCCAATCAGCATGGCCAGTGTCTAGGCAGGATGGCCACTGTTGTCCTAAATGTCTGGAAGGCACCAGCTTTGGAAAGTCTGTTCTAAACATTCAAAATCATTTGCAAACAAAAAAAATCATGAAATAAGCTAGCCAAATCCAAAATTCTGTGATGTTTATTTCAATGGCTGACTTGGAAGTTTTGATGCAGAGAAAACACAGTCCTGGAAGCAAGGCTGTCGTGATTGTTTGCTAAATCCAATTGCATCTCCTTTAGGAGGAATAGCTGCTAGTAAAGAGACAATGATTTGCACCTGGTATTAGAACACTTCCCCATTTTTATAGGATCTGTGCCACTCAATACAAGTTCCATTACGATTCCTGATCATCAGAGCAGGTTTTCTATTGGAAAACTTTGCCAATTACATATCCTCATTCAAGGTTTCAATCTGCCTTGAGGTAGAAAAAAGGGGACACTCTAATTTAATCTGGCTGGAGCTGCTGCTGCTGCTGCTGCTGCTGCTGAAAGTGAAGTAATTTCAGGAGAAAGTAAAATGTGATCAAAGATCAGGAACATCCAAAATGGAGACTTGTTTTGCAAGAGCCTTAAAGTTGCCATAAATTGAGGCATTTTGGGGATGGTAGGGAAGTGGCAAGAAGAGATGGTGGTGGTAGAAGGTAGAATTCAATTTCTCTGAGCTTTTTGTGCTCAATGGATCTAATTCATAAGGGATTGGATAAAAGCTTCTACTTACAACTCCAGCTGTGTCTTGTCCACAAAAGCAATTTGGACTGCATAAAGCTCTTTTTAATAAAGAAAGAAGGGAGGGGAAGGGAAGACCTACCTCATCTTCTTTTGAACTTCCCTTTTTCATATCCTATGAAAGAATATTCCTTTTGCATAAGATTAAAGACCCATTATACACTGACAGCCTGTTCCCATACTTGGAATACAGAGAGGAGACAATAGTTTTAGCCAACAAGAAACCAAGGTGTTCCATAACTTGTGCAAAGAATGGCCCATGCATGGTTTATGCATGCAGCATAATAAGGTTTTAGAATGCAAATGTGTTAGAGAAGACTGCATGACCAGACTTGTACAGGTGAGAGGTATCATTTTACAGATTCCCCATGCAAAAATTGTCTGCAAGTTTTTTGTTTGTTTGTTTTGGGGGGGTATTTTTTAAACAGCACAACTGGAAGAGAACTCCTAAGCTGTAGGGTTTGGTGCAGCTTCTCCAAACTGGCTATTTCAGGATCTGAAGAGAAACTGGAAGAAGAGGTGGGGTCAGGGTGCTTAGCTGAAACACCAAGGTCAGACAGCAGCAAGATAGGCCAAGCTGCTAATGAGAATCAAAGTGCCACTGGTTCAGCAGGAAGACATGATGGAACAGAAAGGGTCAGAGGGAGAGGGGTGCAACTTTTTCAGCCCCATGGTCCAACATCAAGTCAAATGAGCAGACCAATTAAGACACATTTAGCATTCCTGCAATCTAACCCATAAGGCATGCAAGCCTCCCTGAGGGTGGAACTGCCTCTGTTTAGTAAAGAGAGGATGAGAAGAAATCAGTTTGGAATCAACTCCTGGTACAGGCATGAGCTAACTCCACAATTAGAGGGTCTTAACTCAATGGATGCCTCTTGCTAACAACCTTCATATTATTCTCTTTGCATCAAGTACCAGTTCTGGCTGGTCACCTTTAACATAGTAAACTTTGTAGGTAGAAGCTTCTTGTGATCTGCTGTGACGAGAAAAGGAGAGAGTTTGGAGGCTCAGGACAAAGCCCTGCCTACTCTCTTCTGGGCAATTCTTACACTTGCTGGGAAGGTGCATTCAAAATACGCACCTCTGCTCCGCAGAATGAAGCAAGACAGACCCAGCTCTATCAGCTCAGAACTCCTGCTACCTCATCCTGCTAGGTGCATAGCCCAGGCTGCGCTTAGCCAAACAAAGTGCAAACCCATCTTCTCAGTTCACTTCATGTGCCTAGAAAAACCAGCCATGACCTTTGAAATTTTACACCAAAATAAGTCCATTTGTCTTTATATTCCACAGTATTGTTATTTGTGTATTTATTTGCTGGTTTGCTTATTTTTGCAAGATAACATGCTACCCTGGAGGAATTACTTCCATAGGGTCTTTACTTAAATGTTTGCTTGTCGATGTAACATGAGAGAATCTGGTTCTCCTACAGTTGCGTGGCAGGGCTGGAAGTCGCCCTTTTCTCTATGTTAAAGACAGTGGTAGAAAATGATTTTTGGTGAACTGCAGCTTGGAAAAGAAGAGCTATGAAAGCTGGGGGTGGGGAGCTTTTGGCCCTTCAGATAATTTTGGACTGTCATCCCTGACCCTGACCATTGGCTATGCTTGCTGTTGCAATCCAACAGCATCCATACAAACTCTTTTAGAGATCCACAGCCTGGTATCTTCTAAAATAAGCCTTTTACCCTCTCTCTTGTTTCATCTTATGTTACGGAGGTTCTTTTGTCATCTTTCATTAGGCTGACATATTCAAACTACCATGCCTTTTTTTAAAGGAACTGATTTCTTCTCCCAACATCTTATGTTATGAGTACAAACATTTCAAAGCATTCACAAATTCATTGATAATTTCTTCCTTTGATTGATTTAATTTTGACATTCTTTAAGAAATTATGGGTGGAATTCATCGCTCTCTCTCTGCCTCTATGCAACCTAACATGCCAAACTTTTTTTTCCAAAAAGCACCTGTTTAATAAAATTTACTAGCTTCAGTCGCATTTAATTCACTTAAGGAGTAATCCTGTAGTTCCTAGATATCGTGTGCAGGGTCCAAAGGCCAGTTTAGAGTCCCAAATCCAAGGGTCAGCCTCAGAACTAAGAACTACACCTCCAGTCCCAGCACAACCCCTCACCAATGGAAAGAACCACACTGGCTGCTCTCTAAGGCTAGGAAAGCAACCTTGGAGAGGGGGGAAAGGGGGCAGGGAGGGGAGGAGGCTGGAGAGGCCAGGGTATGAGATACCTTGCACTCACTCCACAGTCACTTCTGTCCCTCTGCCTCAGAGATGCCCTTGCTAGACAGCCGAAGACAGCCATCTACTGAAAATGCAGAATGCGTGGAGCAGCTGAGAAGCAGGTCATCTCTGCCATCTCCACCCTCTGCACTGGATGTGCTTGAGCCTCCAAGTTTGGAATATCACCCTCAACCCAATTGGATCACACCTCCAATTATGTCCGATATGTTTTCCATTCTATTGTTTCTGAAAGCCACTTCTTTCTTCATGTTGTCCTTTTAAACCTTTAATATTTTTTTAAATCCAGAAGAGACTTTAAGAAGCATATCCAATATAAAGGTTGTGCATGCACCCCCAGTAGTTAATTTCTCCAGTGTTATTTAATATATTTTTAAAAAAATTCTGTTTCCATGTTTCCTTACTTAATAGCTTCATTTAATAATAAAAAGTAATTTGGCTTCCACTGATTGTGTATCTTTAGGCTCCCACTCACAAATCGAAAGGCTAGGGCTAGGGCATGAACTGATCTTGTCCTAGGTCCTATTTCTACTTTTTAGTCTTAGATAAAAGATTAACACACTATCTTGACTGCCAGTGTGGTAGAGCAGTTAAGAGTGCCAGGCTGGGACTCGGAGGTTCTGGGCACTAGCCACCATCCAGCCATGGCGCTCACTGGGTGATTTTGAGCCAGTCGCAGTCCCTCAGCCTAGCCTACCTCATAGGGTTGTTGATAGGAGAATAAGACTGTCAGGAGATCCTCAAAAGGAAAAGCTCAGGATATAAATAATAAATATGGAGTACTAAGATCAAATCAGCTCTGTTGTATGTTTGATGCTATACAGAAAATGGTTTAATTCATTTATATTCATATTGTTAAAAAACAGTAGGCCTATAAGTTGTGGGGAGGGGGTTTCAAACTGCAAAAAAGTCCTTCTGTGATGTGTTTCCGGAGTCTTTAATAAACTTTGATCTATCTTTCTGGCATGGAATATTCCATTAAAAATCACCTACTACATCAGCAAACGTTTCAGTTGTGTTAAAGAGTTCTGTGAAAAAAATTCACAGTTGAATTCATCATCAGCCATTCAGCCGTGTCCAACTTGGTCATAAATGCAGACCATACTGATTTTTAAAAATACATTTTATTTAGATAGAGCAAAATGCTGGACTAACTTTTGCATCCTCACTGAATATAAGATTTTCTCAACTAGAGAAGAAGTGAGGCTCAATCTCCAGACACCCCAGGTCCAGTTAGAGGAATTCCACGGAGACTGTGAAAGAAGAGAGTCCATGATGGACACCCAGCACTTCCTAAGCCCATCCCATGCCAGTCATGGCAAAAATGGTGGGATTCCCCCCCCCCTTTACAGTTCCCTTTTCTTGCTACTCATTAGTCTTCTTAAAATTTTCCTTTCCTTCAGTGGGGAATATATACAGATGTCACTTCAGGGGCTGCCATAGTTTCCCTCCCTTTTGCATCGAAGCTGCACCCGCTCCACTCCGGTCTCCTTTAACACAACCCTTTCCATTGCTCCATTACAAGAAGGATGCTCCTGCCTGCAGAAAAACTGCTCAGATGCATCATATGGACCCTCAACTACATTCCTAGGAAGCACAAGACTGCCACGTACTTATCCTGCCTTCCATCAGGAAAATGGCGTGAGCAAGTTTAAGGCAGATCCTCACCGAGCCCCTGGCCCATCCCGTTCCCCTGCCACTCTCCATTCCAGCTGCTCACCTTGGCTTGGATTCCACTGGGCAGCTGTGGCTCCTGAGACTCAACACAGTAAGCATGGCAGAACTTGGCCACTAGCAAGGACAGCAGCACAATCAGCACAAGGGGGCTCTTCATGGTCTTCTTCCTGAGCAGGAGACAGCTTGGGAAGGGAAGGAATTAAGGGAGGGAGGGAGGAGAAAAGAGAGGGAGCACACAGATTGGAAAAGGAAAACCAACCAGTGTAAAGGGAACACAAAAGTATCACCATACATACCCTTCATGGTTCAGAAATAAGGCCGAGACATAGCAAGCATTTTATCTGGAACTTTAATTTGCATCCTGCCAATTGCAAGCTTCTAGTCCATGGAAGAATCAGCCATCCACTTCGACTGCTCTCCTATACCTAGAGCATCCTAGAGCATGAATTCAGAGATTTAAAACCACTGTGCAGACAGTGTATTCTAACCCAATGGTTGCTGTCATTGACTTGCTATGTATTATGTAGTGATTTATTATTTTTAACAGAATGCAAATTTGGGTGTTGCAATGGGGGAAAGAATCCATGTTTAAATCCCTTCAAATAAATAAACAACAATTTTTAGTTTCACCCTCTTATTTACCCATTTCATTCAAAGCTTTTCTGAGCTCATACCAGCAAGGCTTGCTATGTTTACCTAAAGTTAGAGACATAACCGTGGCTCAAAAATTATAGAGACGTAACTATGGATGCATTAAAGGCTTAAATTCTTGCTTATCCTTTATTCAAAATTGAAAAGGATTCCTTCCAGGTTCCTATGTTGCTCTTTCTTGTCAAAGAATTTCCTGGATTTGTAGATGTTTGTTTGTAACAAATGTCCAAAATATAGTAATCAGTAGCATTCACTTACATGCATACACTGAGAATTTATGAGGAATTTTGTGAATGGACAGAAACTCGGATACACAAGTGAAAGCCGACAGTAACCTAAACAAAATGAACAACTCTCGCTGTTGTGTCTGACTGATGGGGATACAACTAGTGTATGTTGAAATGTACAGCATTCATGTGGGAATGTCAACAGCCACCTGCAAAAAGTGTCAAATTTTAGACCAACTGTCTAAAACAGTTGGTCTAAACAGACACATTTATACACAGTACTTTAAAAGAAATATGCCATCTTTGGGGTTCTAGTTTAGGCTATAGTATTTCCTAGGAAAACAGTATAAACCTAGATACTTCTGTCCCTTTTTAAAAAATCTATGCCTTGTCTCGACTTAATGTAAGTGAATTCCCAGCCATACGCACATGGGAGGGGCAATGGGAACTTGACAGTAAGATTTAAAAAATTTTGTTCACTTCGCATTAAACAACACATTATATCGTCTGCCATACTGCACAGAGTGCTTATTATACCACCTCATGAAAGAGCCAGGAAAATATATGAGGCCTTCCATATAAAGAGGTGTGGGAAAGGCAATTTAAAAGGGGAGGGGGGTTAACAAAAGTTAATGGATATATATTTGTTCGTTTGTTTTACGTCCTGCCTTTTTTTTCCCTTTTTTTTAAGCACTCAAAGCTGCTAACATCCTCCACGTCTTCCTTCTCCTGGGGTCAACTTGATCCCCAGAACAACAACCTAGAGATGTAGGTTGGGCTGGGAGTCTGTGCCTGGCCCAAAGTCACCCACTTGGCTCCATGGCCAAGCCGGGACTAGAACCCCGATCACCTGAGTCCATTCCCACATTCTCAACCACTACGCTACACTGCCTCTCATATATTTAAAATATATTTTTAAATAAATATTTTAATTTTCCTCCTGTAGAATTTTTAGTTTCACCCTTTTACTGTAAGCCATCCCAAGGCATTTGTAGGGGACAGGATAGAAAAACTTTTAATTAATTAATTAATTAAAACCATTTATTCATTCCCACCCAAAGCTTTTCTAAGTTTCAAAATATATTAAATATTATATACTTATAAATATTTTATATGTTTATTTATTAAATTTATCTTGTGTATTATATATTTATATATAATGTTATATTCTGCTATAATAAAAGTATTTATATTGTAAAATTGTTTACAAAATTATATCAATAAATAATTAAATATTTTATATTTAACATATAAAACATAACATCCTAAAAAGCTTAGGACAAACTTCCATAATCTGTGGAAGTTCTCCAAATGTACTGTACTACAGCTCCCATTGTCCCCAGCAGCATGGGATGGACACCTGGCACCAGGTCATGGAAGGTTTCAACAGGGACCTTTAAAGTAATCCAGAAATACCTGTTAGCAATTCTTTTCAACCCTGAAGGCATCCAATACTCAAAAGTTTTGAAGGGACAAAAGATGTTCCAGCGTGTTGTGTTATTTTATGTTACGTGCACACAAGAGCATAAGAAGAGCCCTGCTGGGTCAGAGCAAGAATCCACCGAGTCTGCCATTCTGTTCATGCCGTGGCCACGCGGCTGCCCACAGAAACCCACAAGTGCGACACGGCTGCAGCGGGACCCTTTTGCCCGCGGTCCTCGGCCTCGCACACACCTCCGCTCACTGGCTCTAATCCTGAAGGCCGCATATGGTCACTGGGACTAGTAGCCACTGATAGCCCCATGCTCCCTTCCCCTCGTAAAGCCATTCGAATGGCTCCAGCCTGTCACTGGGACTTCCACAGTTCCATAAGCTGGAGCCATTCACACCTGTCTGCTACAGGACGGCATCTGCTGGTGGAAAGGATCCCCTTTCCCCATCGCATCCCCCACCTGGAGTGCTGGGGATCCTCATGAACAGATTTCATGGGACATGGGGGGAGAGGAGAGGAGAGGAGAGGAGAGGAGAGGAGAGGAGAGGAGAGGAGAGAGAAGAGAAGAGAAGAGAAGAGAAGAGAAGAGAAGAGAAGAGAAGCTGCTGCATGGATGGAAGCTGTGGCCCAGAATGACCCCAGTTCAAAATCTGCCACTGACATTTAAAGCCAGGGGTCTAACTTAAAGGGCTCCAAGTTGCCTCCAAGGGAGGCAAATGCCTCCCTCTGCACCTTTGGGCTGATGCTGGCCACCCTGATCTGACCCTGTAAAAGCATGATTTAAATGTGGCCACAATTCTAGGCAGTTGCCGGTTTGTGGGAAAGCAAACGGCATAGTTTGTTTTGGCTGAAGTCTTAGTCGGGGTGGAATATAAGCAGCCTGCTATGTGCAGAATTAGGCTTTACACAGTCTCTACTAACTGGCCTACACAGACACTGCATGACTTTGAAAAAGCAGGTTGGACTCATAGATTGAAATTGGTTGACTCCGTTATGCATTTCTCTAACATCCCAAAGCAGAGATAAATTAAAGGAAAGTTTATAACTAATATAATTACCTAGCACCTCCCACTCATTCATACATGTGTTCATATATATGAACACATTCATGTACATTCATAGATAAGTTTACCCTCAAGTGCAACAAAACGCATCCGAATAGCATTTGATATTTTAGATGTGGTATTTCAGTGTGAGAGGCACACATATAGCCTTGTTGAAGAGCGTCTGCTTGTGCCGTCACACTAAGCAAGCACATAGCTGTAAATAACAATGTTGAACGCATGCATACACACATGCATGCACCCTTCTTGCATCCATGCTCCTGCTTCTTCATGCTTGCATGTCAACTTACTGTGGTTCATATTCACCCACGTCTGTTCATTCACACAACTGCTTAAACACGCACATACAATAAACTCTGAAATTCTATCTGGAAGGAAAGTTGAGAATGTCTGAAATTTGGCTCAGCTGTCAATTGGGAATAACCTAACAAGAATGAGGACTTTACCCAGATTTTAAAAAACACACACATTCAAAACTTGTTTGCTTCTTCAGATGCCACACTTTCACTATTAAGGAAACGTCACTTGTTTGGTTTTCCACACCTACAGCAGCACTGCTATAGCATTGAAATCAGGCACCTGCAGGTATCCCACTGACATGCTGTTTCTGCCAAAAGACAAACTATCCCACTAAAAGCCACTCCATATTTTCATAGTCATGGTTTCCTGGCCTATATTTAAACATAAAAACAGAGCAAGTCAGAAGGGGACTTCCGGGCCATCTAGTCTGACCCCCGGCTCCAGCTGGCTCCGCTCACGACATGCCCATGATTTACCTCATCATCACTTGTACAAAGTTATAGCAGCTCTTTGGACAAAAACACAAGAGTAGCAAAGCATTCAGCAACACTTGAATGCCTTCCTTGAATGCCTGCCCTGCCTACCAGACTGTTTCTCCATATGAGAATATGCAACCAGTCAATAAGGCCAGATTTATCAGCAGCCCTCAGTGTGTCATGAATTTTTAAATGTAATCCTCTTACTTTCATGGCTGCCCTGAAAAGCTTAGAAAAGGGCAGCCTGAGCAGTCTCTGAAACAGAACAGTGTGGGGCCAGCTCCTTGCTTCACCACCCCAAGTATCCTCCAACCCCACTGACTGATCATAGAAACATAGCAACAGAGTGAGTCAGAAGGGGCCTCCCGGGCCATCTAGTCTGACCTCCGGCACCAGCCGGCTCTGCTCACGACATGCCCACCATGTGGACGTCCAACCTATCCTTGAACACCCGCACCGATGGGGCCTCAACGACCTCTCGTGGAAGCCCATTCCACACCCTCGGGGTCCTGTCAGGAAGTGCTTCCTGGCATCCAAAGGGAACCTTGGCTCCCTAAGCTTTGCTCCACTGGAGCACGTCCTGCCTTCCTCTGCAGGGGAGAACACGTCTCTACCCATCTCGGTGTGACATCCCCTCACATATCTGTATGTCGCCAACAGATTCCCTCTGAGTCTCCTCTTCTCCAGGCTGAAGAGACCCAGTTCCCTCAGTCTCTCCTCATACGGCATCCCCTGCAAACCGGCCACCAACCTTGTGGCCCTACACTGCACTGACTCCAACCTGGCTATATCCTTTCTGTAATGAGGGGCCCAAAACTGAACACAATACTCCAGTTGTGGGCGCACTAGAGTCATGCAGAGTGGTAGTAATACCTCTCTTGATCTAGAAGCCACACTTCTGGCTATGCAACCAAGGGTGGCGTTCGCCCTCTTGACCACCGCATCACACTGCTGACTCATGTTTAGCCTGCAGTCCACCAGTACCCCGAGGTCCCTTTCACAAGTGCTGCTCTCCAGCCACTTGTCACCTAACCTGTACT